ACACTTGTTTATATTTTACTTATGTACAATTGGAATATCAGTATTATTTTCAGTTTTATCCCACTAAATCAACTTAAAAAGAAAAATATCACCCCCCCCCAAATTTTATATTTTCTTCCCATATTCAACTTCTCACTTTCCATCAACTTAGTTCCTTAATCTCATAAGGAAACACAACTTTTTATCATTCATGTGGTCCAATCCAGTGTTGATAAAAGGGACATTACAGATCTAGAGATCTGAGATAGTGGCTGAAGGGGACCCAAGCTCTCACATATTTTGCTTGACCCACATAGTATAGGATGAAGGGAAAAGAATAAAAGAAAGGGAAGGAAGAAAAGAGGGAAAGAGCAAGAAAGCAATTGCAATGTTTTCAGAAAAAGCATAAACCGCCCAGTTTGGCCATAGCCTCACTATTCCCTAGTGTATTCCACTGACTTCATCACACATTTTGTCATCTCCTTGGTTCCTACTGGCAATAACCCTACCTCCTAGTCCAAACTTTTCATATTCCAGATGAGGAAACAAGAATCCAAAAACAGTTTATTAACTTGCCTAAGGTAACACAGATGGTTATTAGAAAAGCAACAGTAAGAATTGGAACTTGGATCCTAGTTTTGCATTCTTTTCTCTGATTCCATCATACTCTTCATAAATTCAATCTAGAGCCTAAAATAACAAAACATTGAAAGAAAAAGGAGGAATTACCATATAAAATGCATACAGAAAGTAAATGATGCATTCCTGTTTCAGTATAAGTTTGTTCCATTTCTTTATGCCCACTCAATCAAAGGTGGCCAGGAAGTTGGAGAATAGGTGAGTAATGTATACAGGCATAAAACTGAATCCACAGCTAACACTGCAGCAACATTTGAAACATGATTCAGTTGTTAAGGCTGGGACACTGAATTTCTAGCAAATTTCTTCTAACATCACATTCCTACATTCAAGTGTATAGAATTTAAACAGCCTTCTGTTATACTATAACAGAACTAGCTTATTTTATACTTCATAACCTTGTACTATGATGTGTTAAATTTAGAGGAGGAGTATTTGCTATACTTCACAATTACCAATATAATTCTGTGGGTCTTGAATTTTAGATGCCTAAAGAGTGAATCACTGCAGATGGTGATTGCAGCCATGAAATTAAACGACGCTTACTCCTTGGAAGGAAAGTTATGACCAACCTAGATAGCATATTAAAGAGCAGAGACATTACTTTGCCAACAAAGGTCCGTCTAGTCAAGGCTATGGTTTTTCCAGTGGTCATGTATGGATGTGACAGTTGGACTGTGAAGAAAGCTGAATGCCAAAAAATTGATGCTTTTGAACTGTGGTGTTGGAGAAGACTCTTCAGAGTCCCTTGGACTGCAAGGAGATCCAACCATTCCATCCTAAAGGAGATCAGTCCTGGCTGTTCATTGGAAGGACTGATGCTGAAGCTGAAACTCCAATACTCTGGCCACCTAATGCGAAAGTTGACTCACTGGAAAAGACCCTGATGCTGGGAGGGATTGGGGACAGGAGGAGTAGGGGACGACAGAGGATGAGATGGCTGGATGGCATCACCGACTGATGAACTTGAGTTTGAGTAAATTCTGGGAGTTGGTGATGGATAGGTAGGCCTGGCGTGCTGCGATTCATGGGGTCGCAAACAGTCAGATATGACTGAGCGACTGCACTGAACTGAACTGAACTGAAAGAGTGAATAAACACTTAACCAGACTTGGGAAGTCTTGAACTTTTGGTTCTAGATTAAGCTAAACTAAAAGTCTAGAACTTTTGGTTCTAGATTACACTGTGACTGCCAGGATACTGAGGATGTGCTCACCACTGAAAACAAACTTTTAGATCATCTACTATGTAGGCATACATTACAGATCTGTAGGGCAATGAAGCTTTCTAGTTTGTCTGCCAGAACTGTTACTTTGCAGGAGTCTTTACACAATTCCAATTCTCAGGGAGGGCAGAGATAAGGGTTATCCCCAGAGGGTGACTACATGTGAAAGGCATCAGGGAAAGAATGAGCAGTGAGTATGGAGTCTGTAGATGGCTCTATTTCCATGGCTGCCATGGGATCATCAGACTCAAGGAGAGGCAAGAATTCACTTTAGTTTCAAAAGCAAGAAAGCAACACTGACTCTGCTTTTTACATCAGAACTTCAAACTCTTCATATACTATTAACAGAATAGTTCCAAAAATTATATTTAAAGTAAAGAAATAAGGAAAAGCTATAAAAAGAAGAAACTATAATAGGGAAATTGTAAAACCATTTTGCATTTTCACATGTCTACTTCCTGGCTAAATACAAATGAAAGAATTAGTAATGATTACATGTATAATTATTGAGTTAACCAGAGAAATAACTTGAGAGGAAAGATCAAGAATATCTATGACCTTTTCTTTAAGAATGAACTAGGCAAGACATTTTGGGGAAGTAATGGTGAATAGAAAAAACCAAAATAACTTTACATTTTGCATTTTATCTGATTGTATAGTAACACAATTCTAGAGTTGTCAGACACAAATGCTTAAAATAATGAAGTTTCATATACAAAACAATGCCACCATACTGTGTTTATTCAGAAACACACATTTTGACTTTAAAGGGAATTATCCTATCTAAAAGTGTTCATTTATAATGTGTGAAGTAAAGAACTTCTGATCGTGCTTCTCTTCAGTATTAGTTCTGTTTCCTTCCATAAGCTGTTATATATACTATTTAATAAATAAACATAAAAATTAAAATGCTACTAAATAAATGATAAGTGCTGAAAACCCATGAAAATTTCCTAGTTGCATTTCTCAATTTATTGTTAAAACTATCATTATAAATTAATGACAAAATTTTCTCTGCTTTGTTTGCTCTTGATTATGTTTTCACTATCTTATATTGTCATAACACTAAATTTTTATTTCATTTTAAAATATCTTATCTTTGAATAAGAACTCTTCACTCTATAATTACTGAAAGCAGTATTGAGTGTCTTAAATATAGTACTATAACAGTTTGAAATTAACTGCATCAAAATGCCTAATATTAAATAGTCTCTAATGTTTAAATAAAGGTTCATACTAAGGTTAAAGAAGAAGAATTAGGAGGAACATAATGGAAAACAGAATTTTTTTTTAACAACCTCAAAAATTAAATGCCACTGGTACTATCATTCTGCACAGTATTTTCTTGTTTTCAAATGAAAAGTTAGAAGTGGTTATTTCTGTATCTAACAGCTCTTGAAACATCAGTAGGCTGATGAAGATATTCATCCAAACTAATGATTTTACTCTTGCAGTTTGAATACTGAGAATGTTGACAGTTTATAACACTGCTGACGGAAACAATACATAATAACCTTTCAAAGTCTAGACTCACTAGATTCAAGTCTCTTACCCCCTCAAAAAATCTTCACTTTGCCACAAGTACCAATTATAAATTGCAGCTAACATTTAATGAGGGCTTATGTGTCAAGTACTGATCTTTACCCTTCTTTTTCTTTTATTGTGATAATCTGTAGCTATTTTACTGTCCTTCACCCCATTAATCCAAAGTCTCCCTGAGGACAGACATTTTGTCTAGTTACTTATGATATCCCCAGCACGTGGTATGTCTAACGTATAGTAGGCACTAAATTAATAAATGAGTCAATGTTTTAAATGCTTTAAATATTTTTAAAGCTGTTGGTCAGGACCTAAAGGGTTAAGAAAATGCAAAGGAACAGAAAGTAGAGTGAATTACTTCTAGTAGAATAAATATTCTTTAATGAAACTTTTAGTCTGTATGCATGTACGCATGCTCAGTGGCTAAGTTGTGTCCAACTCTTTGCAACTGTGTATGGACTGTAGCCCGCCAAACTCCTCTGTCCATGAGATTTCCCAGGCAAGAAAACTGGAGTGGGTTGCCATTTCCTCCTCCAGGGGACCATTCCGACCCAGGTATTGAACTCCCATCTCCTGTGTTTCCTGCATTGGCAGGCAAGTTCTTTACTACTAAGTCACCCGGGAAGCCCCTAGCCTATATGCATACGACCCATATAAAATATATTTTTACTTATGGCTAAGAGTTAAAAAAATGTCTGAAGAATCACTGCTTTATTTGAATTATTTCATTTGTTCCTCACAAGAACCATGTAGACAATATCATAACTTCTACCTTAAAATAAGAGAAATGAGGTTTTCTAGATGTTACATATGATGTTCAAGATGACAGACTATCTACAAGTATGTCACTTTTATTAATGATGTCATGATTACTATTAGTGAAACTTTAGTTAATTCAGATTTTCTTGTGAGACTCATCGGGCACTATAGTAAGAAAATCTGAATTAACTAAATAAAGTTTCAGTAATAGTAATTGAGACATGATTAATAAAGACAAACATAGGCTTTCAAGGCAGACAAGTCTGATTGAATTTAATACCTGGCTCTGCCACTAACCAGCTATGTTGGCTTTGGTCTAACTTAACCTCTTTGACCTCTATTTCCCCATGTGTAGAAGAGGGACAGTCATAAGGTTGTAAGTTTTAAGTGATTTAATGTATGTAAATAGTCTAGACCACTAAATAGAAGCTGTTGTGATTAAAATAATTATTAGCGGGTTTCCCCGCCCCCCACCCAGGGTCCAATAAATCACATTCAATTTTACACATAATTTGAATGTGTAAAGAGCGCATCAGGAATTCACTGGATTATAAAGAGAGGTATGAGAACTGGACAGAACAGGCATAGAGCCGACCAAGAGTTTCTGCGGGCCTCGGGTAAAAAAGATGCCCAAGACAATCAGGGAGTTGGTTCAGGTCACTATGGGAATCAAAGGAAACAACGCTGCTTAAACGTAAAAACAAACACAACTATTTAATCCTTCCACAGCAACATCCATCTTCTTTCTCTGCAGTCTGGCAAAGGCTGAACCAAGGTGTCAGGAATCGCACCAGGTCAGCTCCCAGCCACGAGGTCCTGGTATCAAGGGACTAGGGCACAGAGGTTCGGAGAAACTCACCCCGGAGACTACGTTGATACTGCCCCAGAATCTCCTCCAGGGTAGAGTTCTCCGGGGACTTCGCCATGCACAAACTCGGGGGCCAGAGATGGGAGTTGCGTGGGGAAGTGTCCAGTGTCCTCCCCTCCAAGAATAAGAGGCCTCAGCCCCCACGATGCGCCCGCCTGCTTCCTGCAGCTGCTGTCATAGGGGAGCAAGGAATCCCGGAGATTTCGGGCCTTTTTCCACCCTCGGGCCCTCGTGGTGGACGTCGGAAGCTGTAGTCCTCAGTGTCTAGGTCTACAGTCTCGAAGTTCCTACGAACCCGCCGAAAGACTACAATTCCCAGAGGGCAACGCGCTCGAAGCTCACGCTTTGGCGGTTTGGCGACCAGATCCGGTTGCCAAGAGACTGCTTGGAGGCTCCGCCCATTTCTGTAGCCCAGTCAGGCTTAGTCCTGCCTTCATCCCATCCTGCTGTCTGGACCACCTAACTGACAGAAAGGGCTCGTTGGAAGGCTTTATTTATTCTTCTAAATTCACTAATATGCAGTTGATCCTTGAGGATTCTCAAGAACGCAAATAACGAGCTCCTACACCCTTCAGCCGCCTCAACATCTCTCAACACTGCTAAATAAATTTTCAAGAAAAAGAAGCTCTGAATTTCCCAAACGGCGTACATTGTAAAAGCGGCTGACACTAGCAATCTTATCAAGCCCAGCGACCCGACAGCAGCTTGGAGTTGGCGCACTGCCCGCTGGGAACTGTAGTCCCAGGCCGTTGCGGTCCCAGCCAAAGCCCGGGTCCTGTTCATTGTTGAAGCCGGTCTTCGGTGTACGCCTGCGCAGTCAGCAGCTGGAGAGGCCTTTGGTTGAGACCCCCCGCACAACTCCTTTTCATTGTCTGTGCTCGGCGCCTGCGCAGTAGGAGTTCGCCGGGACAGCCGGAGCAGGGGTAGGGCCGGGCTCTTCGCCCTCTCCCCAGGCGCCTGCGCACTGAGCGGCCGCTCCTTGCCGTTACCGCTATGTGCGGAGCGTGTGTGGAATAACGTTATTGCCCAGCAGCGCCGAGGGGCCCAGAGCTCGACCGGCGACGACGACAGGGTGGGGGAGGACGCTTGCGAAAGACTCACGGGACGCGGCGCGCCCCGCCCCCCCCCGTCCGGTCCCTCTCAGCAGTGAGGGGTAAGTGATGCGCTCTGATGCCGTCGCCGCCGCCTTTCCACACCCTGTTCCTCGGGTTTGCAGCGGGGTCTCGGGCGCGGCCCGCAGCGGGCGAGGGTGCGGGCCAGTGGCGAGGGGCGCTTCCCCGAGGCTCCGCGCGCCGCCCTCTCCTCCGGACCTGGGACTCGGCGGGGACGCCCATCCCCCCATAGTTCCGCCCCCCCTCCCCCTCCAGCCCCCAACCCCGAGTCCCCCGGTCCTGCGGCCCGGCTTCCCCTGCTAGTGTCCACGTAGTGAGTCGTCTTTGGCTGTCCTGGCTTTGTGCAGCCCCCTCCTCCCGAGCTGTTTGCAGGGGTGCGGGCCGAGCAGTGGAGGGAATGGCTACGCTGCAGCGGGAGAAGGGGTTTTTCCCGATCTGAGCAGCTCCGGGTGTCGACCCTTTTTGTGTGCTTGGTTTTGGGGTGTGGGGCGATTTGGAGAGGTCTGGCGAGGAGCCTTTTGGACGTGGTGGGAGGGCGTGGAAGATGTGTCACTCAGCCCGCCGCGCCACAGCACCCGCGCAGGCTGTGGCTCCGTAGTAACCCGGGGGAGGAGAGAGTGGCTTCCTGTCGACTTCATTGTCCTGAGATTCAAATGTGGGCTTTGGTATGGGTCCCTTCGTTTCTGCCAGGGAAAGAATTAGCAGCTGCCTAACCAGGGGCGGAAAGATGTGGGATTTGGATCCTAAGTCATAAAATCTCTCTTTTTTTTAAGTGTTGAGCGGAGTTTTTGGTTTTTGTGTTTTATTATTATTTTTTTTTTTGAGAATGTAAGCTCCAGGAAGACAGGGACAGTGCCTGTCCAAGCATTGCCAAGGTGATCCATGTAAAATTACTAGATCAGGATGAAGAAAGGACTAGGAAGGGCCTGACGACAAAGCTGTTTGTGTAGCAGGAAGATGAACCAGCAGAATGTTTTCTCATTGGGTGGGTAACGCATTCACGTTCCTAAGGGAATAGGGTAGGATACATCTTTCCGTTGTTTTTTAAGCATTCAAAATTAAAAATAGGCTTGGTACATTTCTGTTTCTGAATTTTTAAATGCATGTTTTTATTCTCTTAATAAAAATTTACCCGCTTGGAAGAAATGTGGTGAAGTAGATGATGCACTTGATTGAAAATGCATCGTTTAAAATGATTTTATTGTTAAGCTTCCAGTGCATACAATCATTTGCTGGCGTTAAAACCAGCAAAAGAGATTGAAGCAGGAAGGGGAGGACCCGGTGGAGGAATGATGTGAAAGGAGAGAGTTACATTATGAATACAGTATCCAGATCTTCACTAATATAACCGTAGCGGGGCATGTGCAATGATTTAGGAATTCTACTCTGGAAATAGTACATTGCAGGTTACAAACCATTTTGTATTTTTCTGCCATTTCTTTAAGTAGTAAAACCAGTGCTGCTTTTACTTTTTCGTAACTTTGTATGTTTTGTAGAATTTTTTTGTTTTAAAACTGAAAAATCTAAATGCATTTGACAGAGGAAAACATTAAAACTTGGAAAGTCAACTGATTTGTCTGTCCAAGCCCAACTGCTAATGAAGAATCAGATAAAACCAAGGTCTTTTTTCTAATGTGCTCTTTCTTACTGTGTCCCTTGGTCCCCCTACCCTGTCAAAATTGTGGAATGCTTTTCTGCATGCTCTTTGAGTTGTCTGTGACAGTCAAGTTTATTGATACTGCATAGTTGTATTAGTCTAGTCTTTTTCTTTTGATGTAAAAGTAATACTAATGAAGAGGAACTTTATAAATTAACTTATTGATACGGGAAAAGATGCCTTAAAGTGGACTTTTCATAAAACAGAAACTGTTGGAATTTTCTCCCTACTTCATATTAGTAACCATATTTTCATGTTATCTTCTGCTATTCAGTACTATTTTATAGTATGATCAACTCTATAACTGTTAAAAATGAAACTGCCCTATAGGAACTCATGAAGTTCATCATTCTTAAATTCAGTGAATTTTGTTTTATTCAAGTTAAACAAGCTTACTTTTTGAGGGAAGAAAATTCACGTTGAACTTTTTTATTAAAATCATGCTCTTTTATTCAGTTGATTTTGCCATAAAATGGTTTTATTGTCTTATACTTTTTATCTTTTAGTTCTACACTATATTTTGATAAACTTTTAAAAGACAATTAGTATGTCTCTTAAATTTCATCTTACTTAAAAGTAATCTGTAATCATCATGTGTAATTAAATCAAACTTGAAATGTATTCTACTTTTAAATTTAATGGTGTGCTAAAATTACTTTTTTATGGATGTAAATAACCATCTGCAAGTTTTCAGCTTTACACTGTAAAATTATCATACATTGTGTCTATTAGTATGAATATCTAGGTGATTTTTAAAACCCTGTGCTTAAGGATTTGTTTTATTTGTTCCAACTATCAGTTTCTTGTTTCCTTTATCTCTTTAAAAAAACTCAAAAGCCTCTCGAAACTAGTTTTATTGTTGCATCTGATAGTGATCAGCCATCACTCAGCTAGTACTAAATACTGTATATGTTTAAACTTGTTGTCAGTATGATTTTTACTCAACAAAATTCTGTTCCTGAAAAATAACTTGGTATTTTAATTAATGTGTAGTGATTTTCTTTTCTTCTTTATCATGAACACTGGGGAGATAAGCAGTATACTGTGCTCATATAAATATCTAACAGACAACATGATATTAAAGTGCCAACTGAAATATCTGTATAGTTGTGAATTATTCTGCGAGTATATAAAAAAAGAATTGCATACTGTCTGAAAAAAATTTGGTGGATAAATATTATTGACTGAAGCATTAAGTGTTGATGTGTTTCAGTAAGAAATGGGTTTCCTTTAATGGGGAGAAACCTCAGACTATTTTTATTTCATAAGCTTTTGTTAATAACTAAGATTTCTAATAACTACCCTTGGTAAAATGGGTCTTTATTTACTCAAATATTTCTTGAGGGAAGTGCTCAGCAATGAGTTAGCCAGTGTAGGCTGTCTGAAAGAGTAAGAAAACATCTGTTGTAGTTGTTGTTTGGTTGTTAAGTCGTGTCTGACTCTTTGCAACTGTATGGACTGCAGCATGCCAGTCTTCCCTGTCCTTCACTATCTCCCAGAGTTTGTTCAAACTCATGTCCATTGAGTTGGTGATGCCATCCAACCATCTCATCATCTGTCGGCCCCTTTTCCTCCTGCCCTCAATCTTTCCCAGCATCAGGTCTTTTCCATTGATTTAGCTCTTCGCGTCAGATGTCCAGAGTATTGGAGCTTCAGTTTCAGCATCAGTCCTTCTAGTGAATATTCAGGGTTGATTTCCTTTAGGATTGACTGGTTTGATCTCCTTGCCCTCTGGTAGTATGCTTGATTAAATTGGATATGTAGTCCAGTTTAGTTGAAATGATTATGCAAGAGTATATTATATTTTGGGGGCAAAATAAATGACATAGCTGATATGTACTAAAGTAAATCCCACTCCTGTTCAGAGGTAGAAAGGAAACCAACAAAAGCAAGGTTATAGAAATTTCTTTCATCCAATAGAGACTATGCAAAGCATAGAAGTAGAAATGAGTTCCAAGCGTGCATTGCACAGGTTTGAAAATAAAAAAACAAAACACAGCAGAGAACAAGTTATTATTTAAGTGTATTGGTGGCTAACAAATAATATAGAAAATACTACCGTTTGGAGCATAATATTTACTGACTACATGAGTAACGGATGTGTGCGCTTAGTTGTTAAGTCTTGTCCTGACCGTGCAACCCCATGGGCTGTAGCCCACCAGGCTCCTCTTTTCATGGGATTCTCCAGGCAATGAGTAATACTTGGTGTGTATTGAGTACCTATAAAGTGTCAGGCATTTTGTGTGTCTCTGTGTAATTCATGCAGCCATTGTATGAGTGAGGTTTTATTTTACACTTAAAGTTGA